ATGGCATCTTAAGTTCTTAATGACTCCAGCTCCATACTGGACCCCATTAGACTCTAGTCTGGACCCCAACTAGATCCCTCCTAATCAGACAGCCTCAATTCCTGCCATCACTCAGGACAGGAAGCTCCCTAGACCTTCTTCCCTCTCGGATGTGGCTCTCCTCTGGGACCATGGGCCACACCGGCCCTGGCCCACCTCCAGGCCAGTCAAAACCCCAGGCCCCCAGCTCTGGGCACCCCTTGTAGTGGGTACTCCAGCCCTTTTGACCATCCTGGTCCTGGCCCCAGCACTGACCAGGTTGAGGGTTTTGTCTAAGCTCTCGCACTGCTTGCCCACTCTCTCTTATATGGGTCTGTCTTCTTGGGCCCTACTACGGGGTTACCCACCCAGTTGTCAGGGCTGGGGTTTTGAGGCACCCCTCCTCACCTTTCACCGGGGAGGTAACTTGTCTGGGATTTCTCCTTTGTCACAGGGAGCCCCACCAGGCCACCCTTTCCCAGCAGGGTGCAGTTTCAGGTCATGCCCAGAACCAGGAGCCTCCCCAGTCCATTCCCTTAGCTCCTGCCCTTACTTCCAGGATGTTCCACACCGCAAGGGAGCTGGATGGTGCTGCTCCTTCGGCTGCAAACAGCTAACTGCTGACTCTGCCTGTCTGGCCTTTGTTTGAAAATGTCTGCCCTCATCAGGCACCTGATGGCTGTCTGCCTGCCTCAGTCTTTAAAGTGGCAAGCACCAAAGATGCACTGCCACAGTCTCATTGTAACAGGGTAGCTCTCAGGGCTGGGCACCAGGCTGGTCCACCTCCCTGTTTGGGCAGTCTGCCCTCCCACACTCGCCTGCCACACCTTGATGTAAACAATAGGTTACTTAGTTTTATGCCGGAGGCTGCCCATTTTAAAGCCCAATGCCTAGGGCATTATCCATGGCTCCATACTGCCCCTACACTGTGGACCATGCCTTGCAGATGGTATCCATATTGCACAATGCCTCACGCCGACCCATGCTCCAGGGTCTCACTGGGACATTCATTCCACCCTGGGGCACATTGCCACTCTGCTGCCACATGGTGTGTTCAACTACTCCCCTGGTCCCTTACTGGGCCACTGTGACCTCTGGCCTAAACTAGGCCTCAGGCATCTTTGGATGTGCCTGGGCCTTTAATTCATACCTGTGCCTTTAACTAATGCCCCTCACTGGGACTCCCTACTCTAATAATATCAGTCAGCTTCTGTGCAGCGCTTTGGACTGTCTTCAGGCCCTACTCTACACTACTGCTGGGTGTAGCTATCCTGGTCAGCATCTGGTACAGCCCTTCAGACCATCTTAGGTCCTACTCTACACTGCTGCTGGCTGCCACTACTCTGGATGGCTTATGTACAGCATTTCAGGCCACCTTTAGGCCCTACTCTACACCACCGCTAGGTCCTTATCACTCTACTCAGCCCCTTTGCTGGAGTCTTTGTGCCTCAGGCATCTGGCGACTTACCTGGGCCCTACTAGCTCTCACTGGACCTTTGGGCCTCAGGCATCTGACAACTTACCTGGGCCCCACTAACTCAGCCTACAGCTGTGCAAGTCTCAGACGTCTCTTGACATACCTGGACCCTTTGGGCAATATGCCCCTTTGGGCTCAGGCATCTGTCGACTTACCCATGCCTCAGGCCCCATGCAATGGGCCTGGGCCCCTGTTGCTTTTCTATTGGGGCATGCTCCCCTAGCCTTTCCCCTCGATGGGGTAACCCACAAGGCAACAGTGGCTGAGGCTTTCTAGTGCCCCATACTCGCTCTTCACTGGGGAGGCACAGGTGTTGCATTTTCTGGGAGCTGCCATGCCACAAGCAGCCCCACCACACCATCCACCCCCAGCAGGGTGTAGTTTTAAGTCGTGCCCAGGACCAGAAACCTCCTGCCATTCTCATAGTTCCTACCCTGTCCTCCGGATGTTTCTGAGCAGCAGCTCCAACCAGGCAATGTTCTGCCTCCAGCGGCTTGCAGCAACTGCTGCTGGCTTTCATGCTCAAGCCTGCTCTTATTGCTAGCAGTTGAACTCTCTTCCCCAGTCTGGCAGTCTCCTGGTGCCCATGTGACTCCTGACTGGGGAGTGCCTCCACCTGCAGACTGCCTCTGCTGCCTACTCATGCCCTTTTGAGTGGCAGGGACCACAGGGCCTGCTACAAGCAAGCACCCAAAGGTGCCCTGTCACACTCATGTTTTAATAAATTTGGATTTGGGCTTGGGTTGTGAGGGATGCTGGTCATGTTTCCCAGGCTGGATGGCGGGTGAGAGCAATGAAGGAAGGCACTTCTGAGGGAGTTACTGCCCCTGCCCTGAGAAGAAAGCCCCAGCTCACAGGGACCCAATCCACCCCCTACCTTGTTCCTCCCCATCCACCCCAGACCCCACTCCTGGACCTGTTCATGTCCTGTGACCTGACTAGCTAGCATGTGCTCCACAGGCTGCTTGCACAGTGTTCCACCCCTGGGGGCAAAAAGGTCACACCACCAGGGACAGGAAAAGGCGCTGGCATGGTGCCAGAACTGACCCCTGGGCAGCAGAATTCAGGAGGTGGAAATTTGTCTACACAGAACAGGAGGGTGGGAAAGAGGATACTGCATCCTAGGATGCAGAAGAACTGCAGCTTGGGCATCTCACCTGTGGGGAGTGGCCACACATTAACAGAACACGGGCTGGGTAAAACAGATCAGAGATAAACCAACCCTGGGGCAGTCTAAAGTGTGCTTAAAATTAGTTTCAGGTATTAATGTGTGGAAAACCTAGGACAAGGGTGGGAAAAAATAGGCCCGCAGGCCAGATCTGGCTCACCAGTGCATTTTGTCCAGCCCACAGTAGGTCCTTTGGCCCCAACTGGCCCACACATGGGGGGCAGCACAGGCCATGGTGCTTGTGGCCAGTCCTGCCACCCCTGGATGTGCAGCCGGATCCAGGGGTTAAGCGCTCCAGGACCTGCCTAAAATTAATGTGTAACAAGGCCTTAGGTCCCTGGCTTACCTGCAGACTGGACTAATTGGGGATAGCTGGAGACAGAACTTGGCAAGAGTTGTAGAGTTAAGTTGTAGAGTTTCGCATCCATTACTTCCTCCCCTTCCTTCACAAGTAATATCCACACTCTGGGAATACAGTCTTTATACTGTTCTTCTTAACAGTCTCCTACACTAGTTAAAGGGGCAGCTGGCCTAGGGGATCCAGTGTACTAAGTCTGTAGGAATCAGCTTAGCCTCAAGCAAGCAGATGTAGGGAA